TGTATAAGACGCAAGCAGATTTTGACATCAAATTTTGGGGTAAAAAAGTGCGTCTTATACACCGAAAAATACGGTAATTTGAACTAAGAAGCAGTCAGCTATATCTCTTAACGATTGTAAATTTGTAATTGGAAAACATCAGTATAAACCAATGCAGTTTCATACTTCTTCAGTAAGTTCATCGGTAGAGTCTAGTTTCGTGCTAGTTAGATTGATAGCTTGTACAAAACCAGATATAAGACGAGAAGATGATGAATATATAAATAATTAACTCGCTGATAATGCAGCGTGGGTCTAATTGACAGTCTCCTCCTAAGTCTCCCATGTTAACTCTCCAATAAAAACAGAGATTTGGCGACAGATTTAAACAATTTTCAGACACTTGTTGTAATTACAAAGGATTAAGATAGGATTTCGATTACTGAGAAATGGTTGACGAAAAGAAAAAAAAAGAGATATTGTAAAGAAATCCTAGAACAATTGTATGATTGCATTTATATACAGCTTTGCTTTCTAGTTGCTTTCTTTTTATATATCTCAGACATTAAGAATTTACAACTACAGAGAAAGGTCATTATACATCGGTACGTATAAAACAAAACAAAAGTTTTTAAATCTAGACTTTTATATTATTGTAGTTGATAGAATATTTTTCTGGTTTTGTAGCATTAACATGTTTTAATCACACTACGAATACAAATGCATATCACGATCATCTGTATACTGCAGCTTCGAGTGTTATTAGCACTCATCAACTCATTTATGCTTTTATGATAAAAAATATTACTTACTAGACATTTATATACATTTAGACTGGAGAACTAAGTTCCTGCTCGTTATATTAAAATCATTTTGTAGTCTTACCACATGTTGTCATGTTCTATCTGACATCCTTTGCAACTTGACAATAGCCCTGCAACGCAATCTCCATTGCGAAAGGCTCCATCGCAAGGCTGTCATATCTAAATCACCGCCAGTTTCAACAGTATGACCAAAGTGAAGTCTATAAGCACTTCAACTTGACCTATTTGTCTTTATACGCGACAGTTGAGCACAATATGTTACTTTTCAAATCAAGAGATCCTTTTTAATTATGTTGTGTACTGACTGGTGCCTGGG